AGCTGCTTCTGGGGAGGTTGGGGACAGAGATTGACAGGGAAGAGGCATGAAAGAAATTTTGGGTTATGGTAATGCTCTATATCTTTTTTTTTTTTTTTTTGACAGGCAGAGTGGACAGTGAGAGAGAGAGAGACAGAGAGAAAGGTCTTCCTTTTGCCATTGGTTCACCCTCCAATGGCTGCCGCGGCCGGTGCACCGCGCTGATCCGAAGCCAGGAGCCAGGTGCTTCTCCTGGTCTCCCATGGGGTGCAGGGCCCAAGCACCTGGGCCATGCTCCACTGCCCTCCCAGGCCACAGCAGAGAGCTGGCCTGGATGAGGGGCAACCTGGACAGAATCTGGCGCCCCGACCAGGACTAGAACCCGGTGTGCCGGCGCCGCTAGGTGGAGGATTAGCCTAGTGAGCCGCGGCGCCGGCCCGCTCTATATCTTTTTAAAATTTATTTATTTATTTTTAAGATTTATTTTATTTATTTGAAAGTCAGAGTTACAGAGAGAGGCAGAGACAGAGAGAGAGGACTTCCATTTGCTGGTTCACTCCCAGATCGCCACAATGGCCGGAGCTGCGTCCATCTGAAGGCAGGAGCCAGGAGCTTCTTCCGGGTTTCCCATGAGGGTGCAGGGGCTGAAAGACTTGGGCCATTGTCTACTGCTTTCCCAGGCCACAGCAGAGAGCTGGATTGGAAGAGGAGTGGCGGGGACTAGAACCCACGCCCATATGAGATGCTGGTGCTTCAGGCCAGGGCTTTAACCTGCTGCGCCACAGTGCTGGCCCCTTATTTATTTATTTGAAAGACAGAGTTACAGAGAGGCAGAGAGAGAGAGAGAGAGAGAGAGAGAGAGAGAGGTCTTCCATCTGCTAGTTCACTCCCCAGATGGCCATAATGGCCAGAGCTGCACCAAGAGCTTCTTCCAGGTCTCCCCGCGTGGGTGCAGGGGCCCAAGCACTTGAACCATCTTCTGGTGCTTTCCCAGGCCATAGCAGAGAGCTGGGTAGGAAGTGGAGCAGCCAGGACTAGAATCTGTGCCCATATGGGATGCTGGCACTGCAGGCAGCAGCTTTACCTGCTATGCCACAGCACCAGCCCCAATGCTCTATATCTTGAATGGGGTTTCGATTAAACAGGTGGATGTGTTTGTCAAAATTCATTAAAAGTTCTACTTAATATTTGTGCACTTAACTGTATGAAAACTTAACCTACAAATAAAACTATAAAGAAGTATTGAACTCAAATTACTGATATGTATGCTAAAATGACTGATACGTATTTGTAGGTGACATGCACCAATGTCTGTACTGATTTTGAAATGCACAAAAACAATATGAGATAAATGGATACATGTGCGATAAAGAAAACACAACAAGGACCAGGGCCAGTGTTGTAGCACAGCAGCTGGTATTCCATCCAGTTTGAGCTCAGCTATTTGGCGTCTGATTCAGCTTCCTGATATTGCATGCACCTGGGAAGGCAGCAGAAGCTGGCCCAAGTGCTTGAGCCCCTGATATTCTTGTGGGAGACCTGGATGGAGTTCCTGGCTCCTGGCTTCAGGCTGGCCCAGGCCTGGCTATAGGGCAGTGAGCCAGCAGACAGTGGGCCTCACTCTGTCTCCTTCTCTGTCACTCTGCCATTCAAATAAATAAGTATATCCTTGTTAAAAAAAGAACAAAGACAACACAGGGGCCAGCATTGTGGCACAGGGAGTTAAGTTACTGCCTGCCATGCTGGAATCCCATATGACTGCTGGTTTGAGTCCCGGCTGCTCTACTTCCGATTCAGTCCCCTACTAATGCACCTGAGAAAGTAGCAGAAATGGCCCAAGTGCTTGGGCCTCTGCTAGCTACATGGGAGACCCAGAAGGAGTTCCTGGCTCCTGGCTCCTGGCTTCAGCCTGGTTCATCCCCAGCAGCTGTTGTGGCCATTTGGGGAGTGAACCAGTGAATGGAAGGTCTCTCTTTCTGTCTCTCCTTTTTTCTCTCTGTAATGCTGCCTTTCAAATAAAGAAACAAATAAATCTTTAGGATAAAAAAGAAAGTACAGAAAAATGTCACAGTGCACATTTTGTAAGTTGTCTACATGTGGGGCAATATTTTGGCTGGGGAGATGAAAGCCACAAAGTGACTATTTGGAGCCTGCGCCATGGTGCAGTAGGTTAATCCTCCACCTGCGGCACCGGCATCCCATATGGGAGCCGGTTCTAGTCCAGGTTGCCCCTCTTACAACCCAGCCCTCTGCTATGGCCTGGAAAAGCAGTAGAGGATGACCCAAGTCCTTGGGTCTCTGCACCGTGTGGGAGACCTGGAAGAGGCTCCTGGCTCCTGGCTTCAGATCAGCGCAGCTCCAGCCATTGTGGCCATCTGGGGAGTGAACTAATGGAAGGAAGACATTTCTCTCTGTCTCTCCCTCTCACTGTCTGTAACTCTGCCTCTCAAATAAATAAGTAAAATCTTTTAAGAAAAAAAAAAGAGTGACTGGATCTCTGTGAACATGCTTCCACATCCTTCTTCTATTTTTTTTTAACAGATTTATTTATTGGGGCTGGTGCTGTTGTGTAGTGGGTAAAGCGGCTGCCTGCAGTACTAGCATCTCATATGGGCACCAGTTTGAGTCCCGGCTGCTCCACTTCCAATCCAGCTCTCTGCTATGGCCTTGGAAAGCAGTAGAAGATGGCCCAAGTCTTTGGGTTCCTTCACCCCCATGGGAGACCCAGAAGAAGCTCCTGGCTCCTGGCTCCGGATCAGCACAGCTCCAGCTGTTGTGGCCAGTTGGAGAGTGAACCAGCGGATAGAAGACCTCTCTCTCTCTCTCTGCCTTGCCTTCTCTCTCTGTGTAACTCTGCCTCTCAAATAAATAAATAAATATATTTTTAAAAAAGATTTGTTTATTTATTTATTTGAGAGGCAGAGTAACAGATAGAAGGAGACAGACAGAGGTCTTCCATCCTCTGGTTCACTCCCCAAATGGCCGCAATGGCTGGAGCTGGACCAATCCGAAGCCAGGAGGCAGGTGCTTCTTCCGGGTCTCCCACAGGGGTGTAGAGACCCAAGCACCTAGGACATCTTCCACTGCTTGCCCAGCCATTAGCAGGGAGCTGGATTGGATGTGGAGCAGCCGGGACTTGAGCCGACGCCCATACGGGATGGCAGGTGGAGGCTTTAGCCTACTACACCACAGCGCCAGCCCCTCTGTGCTTTCTTAGGAACAGATGCAAAAGGGCAATGTAGGCACATTTTGCTCAAATGCTGAATGGCCAAGTGTTAAAGTCAATATTTAAATGCAGCACAGTGTGAAGTTGAATATTATCCATTTTAGCATAGATCCGTGGTATTGTAAGTACAGCTGATATTTTAGTAACAATAAGCATTATTACAACTTAAAGTTTTCAGTAGCAATTTTAGGGATGTTTTGACATTACAGTGCAGAAACTGTAACGTCTTAGCCCTGGGAGCTGTGGAACTGTTCTCCTTCTCACTGTTTTGCACATTTACCATATTAAATACATTTTCACTTTCAGCTGAGGTCAGTAGAAGAACATGACTCATGGCCTAAATGGAATTAGTTAACTAAAAATAAAATAAAGTTCTTAAAAGTTATTTTTAATGGTAGTAAGGCTAGTACATCAAACAGTTCATAAAGACAAGAATTGACATACAATTTAATCTTTATGGCTAAAATTTTCATAAAAATGTATTGGTTCAAAAAGGTTATAACATAATTTCTAAAGTTAGCTTGATATTACATTTTCTCTTAATGTTCACACTATCCATCTGTTTCTATATTCAGTTAACTATTTGAAAGGTCTTAATAATTATGTTGTGCACACAGTTAATGACTTTCACAATTGGAATTAATAATTGAATTTAATTCTTACATAATGATGTTTAACTCTTACAATAATATACATATATTTGCGCTTTAATAGAACTTCAATATATAAAGCATAGAATTTTTAAATAATTTTATGTGAGAGGCAGAGACAGAGAAGGAAAGCTCTCATCTGCTGGTTCGTTCCTTGGCTGGGCTAAAGCTGAACCTGGGAGCCAGGAATTCAATGCAGGTTCCCCTTGTGGGTAGCAGGCTCGCAGTGACTTGAGCTATCACCACTGCCTCGTGAAGCCTGCATTAGCAGGAAGCTGAAGTTAGGAGCTCTGGATATCAAACCCAGGCACTCTCATGCCCAGCCCTGGCCATTGCAGCCATTTGGGGAGTGAACCAGTGGACGGGAGATTCTCTCTCAACTCTGCCTTTCAAATAAATCTTGAAAAGAGTAGTCTTAATTTTGGTTGCAAGAGGGGCATGTTAAGTGTTTTTGGGGTGGCACAGTAACTGTATTTTGCCTGTGCTTCGACGTCGTTAGAAAGCCAGCTCATTTTGTTTCGCTGTGTCATGGTGTCAGAGTATCCTAGTCTGTGAGATTGGTAACCTGTGAGATAGGAGAATAACACACCACAGCTGTGGGAACCAGGCCAGCTGCTGGATGTTGAGGGCTTCTCACGTCTGTCATTCTGTCTACACACACAATTTCTACAAAAATTAGATGGTCCTACACACTGTTCTGTAAGCGCTAATTTCTCTTAATTTATTGATTTGGATGCATTTTTCTATTTGGCATACTAATTATATTAAACCAGCAGAAATAAAAGGCACAAAAGTACATACAGATAGATATGGGGAGAGGAAAAATTTTTTAAATAGATTTATAGCTAGACATGGTGCTAGCTCTGAGAGTACTCCTCAATGTATCTTTCTTTATTGACCCTAGGATGATTTGGGTTACTATTTCCTTAAACCGAAAATAGTCATGTTCACTAAAATTATGGACACATACACGAACTTTTATTACTACTTTGCTTAGGTAGAAATAAAAAAAAATCTGTAATATGTAAAAATCTAAGAATTTTGCAAGATCACTTTTAATGGCTGTGTAGTGTTCTATTGTATAGATGTAATTAGCCTTTTCCCTCTTGATGGATATTTATGTATTTGATTTTTATTGAAAGCAGAGTTACAGAGCAAGAGAAGAAGAAGAAGAAAAGAAGGAGAAGGAGAAGGAGAAGGAGAAGGAGAAGGAGAAGGAGAAGGAGAAGGAGAAGGAGAAGGAGAAGGAGAAGGAGAAGGAGAAGGAGAAGGAGATGGTTGCAACAACCCCAGGCTGGGCAGACTGAAACCAGGAGCCAGGAGCTTCATCTGGATCTCCCATGTGGGTGCAGGGGCTCAAAGACCTGGACCATCCTCTGCTGCTTTATATTTATTTGATTTTTTAAACATTTATTTGAAGGTCTGACTTTTCAGTGTAGCAGGTTAAGCCATTGCCTGTGACTCCAGCATCCCATGTGGGTTCAGGTTCAAGTCCCAGCTGTTCAACTTCTGATCCAGCTTCCTGATGATGCACCTGGGAAAGCGGCAGAGGATGGCCCAAGAGGTTGGGCCCCTGCACCCATGTGGGAGACCCAGAAGAAGCTCCTGGCTCCTGGTTTCTGTCTGGCCCAGCCCCAGCCCCAGCCATTGTGGTCATTTGGAGACTGAACTAGCAGATGGAGGATCTCTAGCTGTTTCTCTCTCTCTCTCTCTCTCTCTCTCTCTCTCTCTGTAACTCTGCCTTTCATATAAATAAATAAAAATAAATCTTTAAAAAAATTTATTCGGGAGGTGGGACAGAGAGACGCCTTTCATCTATTGGCTCACATTAGCCAGAGCTGGGTCAGGTTGAAGCTGGAGGCCTGAAACGCCATCCAGGTCTCCCACAAGGGTGGCAGGGGCCCAACTACTTAAGCCATCACCATGGCCTCCTAGGGTGTGCATTAGTAGGAAGCTGTAATTGGAAGCAGACCTGGGACTTGAACCCAGGCATTCCAATATGGACTGTGGACGTCCTAAGTGGCATCTTATAGTTCTTAGTTAGGGGATGAGCATTGCGTGATCAGCTCATGTGTAGGCCTCTGGTTGGTCCACAGGGTGCATACCTTAAAAAGGAGAGTCTCTGCTAGCAGTAACCGAGAGAGGAATAGGGAAGGAAGAGGGATTGCTGGGTAGTGAGCAGGATCCCAAGCAGGAATACCGCTATCTTACAGTTGCACCACTGTCTTAGGTGTCAGCCCGCCTGGTTTGAAAAACTCATGCAAGCCAGCTCAGCCCTGCCAAATGCCCATCCAACCCAGAACTAAAAGCAGCCCTGACTATATAAACCCCTAGTCTGTACCAACGAGGCTCTGTGCCCTCACTGATAGGGGGGTCCTTCTTAGGTTTGTCTCCAAATAAACCTGTTCTCGATGTTGAGTTCCTGGTCTGTATCCTCTTTGTCCTGTTCTTCAACTCTAACAGGGATGAGGGAGGCTCTGGGGGAGGGGAAGGCATTAGGACTTCCTTCTGGGCCTTCCCCAGTTGCTCCTCTTAGGGGAGGCATCCCTAAGCCCCTCCTGCCCGAAGCCATCCTGGCTGTCCTCTCGGAGCCTGACACTGAGGTACTGAAGGACTCAAATAATAGCCAGGCAGCCACCACTCCATTTGCATTCTTGGTCTTAACACAATTTTAAAATTGAGAAATAATTTGCACTCCCCACGGGGAGTCCAGGAATTAAGCAATAGCTGTCTGGTTCTTTGCTTTGTGCATTGCAATAAGTTTCTATGTTGTCTACCAGTGACGTCAATGGTCACCTTACTGAGCCTCTGGGAGCTGGGCTGATCTGAAACCAGGAGCCGGGAGCCTCTTCCAGGTCTCCCACGAAGGTGCAGGGGCCTAAAGAAGGACTTGGGCCATCTTCCACTGCTTTCCCAGGCCACAGCAGCGACCTGGATTGGAAATGGAACAGCTGGGACTCCAAACAGTGCCCATATGGGATGCCGGCATTGCTGGTGGCAGCCTTACCCACTATGCCACAGTGCCGGCCCCCTATATTTTTCATCCTGGGTGATTATATACACCAAATTGGGTTAGATAGAAAGGAGGCAGTATACGAATCTACAGCCAGGCTGAATTTATTCAGAGAAAATAAATTCGCGGTGGTGAATTCCTGGAACTGGTCTTTCAGGTGGCGGTGCAGGGCCTTGGGAACCTGGAAAGAATGTAGGGGTGGGGTATGAAGGTAATAGGGTGTGAGACCCAATTGAGATTCGAGGGCAAGTAATAAATTCCAATGTTTATCTTTTGGGCAATGAGTGAGAATGGCCGAGGCTTATGGCTTTGTTCCATCGGGGGTGACTGTTACCACATACATGTAAGGAATCAGCAGGCAGGACAGCCAGAGGCCAGCCATTAAAATATGGCCTGCAATCCAAGAAGCGTACTTGACAATATTTCTTCAGTTAGGATGAGTTTTCTTTGGCTCAAGAGGATTTTCCAGGTTTTGCTCTCTAGGTGGAGGAGCCCATATTCCCTTTTTATCTTTTTTAAAAGATTTTTTTATTTACTTGAGGGACAGAGTTAGAGAGGGAGAGAAAGGTCTTTGATCTACTGGTTCACTCCCTAAATGGCAACAAAGGCCAGAGCTAGGCCTATCCAGAGCCAGGATTTCGGGTCGCCCGTGTTTCCCCTTTATCTTAAGGACACTCCAGTAGATGCCCGGGGCCACCCTCCACTTACACTACCCTCACATTTGATGCTATGAAAATGCAGGGAGAGACAAACAACAGGGTTGTTAACTCTTTCTTCAATGGCCCTAAACACTGCCTAGGCTGAGGTTTCCTTGTTCTAAGTAGAAGGTTCTTGGTTTCTGGGGGACTCAGTGCTGGGCATCCTCATCTGGACAGCACCCCCCTGACTTGGGCCTGCGGTCACCACTGAAGTCTGCAATTCCAAAGTTCAAATTTTTCCTCAAGCTTCTACCAGTTTTTCTTTTGTGTGGTATTGTGCCATCTTACTTAGCTTATTAGTTCCACCGTGTAGCATATTTTTGATCCAGAAGCCCTGATTCTATCTATCTTGTTAGATCTTTTCTTCTATCAATTCTCCTGTGAAGTTCCTCCCTCCCTTCCTTCCTGGAAATATATGAGGGTTTTTCAAAGAGTTTGTGGAAAATGCACATTAACTGTTGATTTCATTTTTCCACAAACATCTTTTTTTAAGATTGATTTTATTTGAAAGGCAGAGAGAGAGAGAGAGAGAGAGAGAGAGTCTTTCACCCACTGGTTCACTCCCCAAATGGCCACATTGGCCAGGGGTGGGCTAGGCCAAAGCCAACAGTCAGGAGCTTCTTCCCACGTGGGTGCAGGGGCCCAAGCATTTAGGCTATCTTCTGGCACTTTCCTAGGCCATTAGCAGAGAGCTGGATTGGAAGTAGAGCAGCCAGGTCTCCAACAGAAACCCATATGGGATGGCTTTACCTGCTATGCCACAATGTCAGCCTCTCCATGAACATCTTGAAGTACCCTCATATTACACACACACACACACACACACACGTATAGGAGAAGGGGGAGGGAGTAAAGAGAACCGGTGGAAAAACTGGGCCCTTTCCCTTAGAAGCCACAGTGTGAACAAAGACCGCACACTCTCTCAGCTCTGCTCTGAGCCGCCTGCCTGGCCTGTCGGGTGTATTCTCTCCATTCCATCATGCAGCCTTGCTTTCTCCCCGTCTGAACAACAGGCACTCTCCCTCTCTCTGTCCCTTCCGTTCTGACAGATGCCCTACCCCTAATAAAACCTTGCTACTTTACTCTCTGTCTCACGCCTGAATTCTTTCTTGCATGAAGACAAGACCCCACCACTCATCTCCACTAGCATATATATATATATATATATAATGTATATATATGTGTATATATATATATGTGTGTGTGTGTATATATATATATAGTGGCTATCACATGCCAGGCCCTGCTTTAGACATTGGGAATACTGAAACAAGGAAGACAGCATTTCTGCTCTCAAGAAACTCTCAAACTACTAGGAAAGACGTGCCTAGAAGCAAATAATAATCATGCTGTAGTAAAATATGCTAAGTCTCATCTCATCACAGAGACAAGAAGAGGCTATGGAAGAATGAAGGAAGGGTTGGGGCTGGCGCTGTGGCCTAGTGGGTAAAGCTGCCGCCTGCAGTGCTGGCATCCCATGTGGGCGCCGGTTCGAGTCCTGCCTGCTCCACTTCCCACCCAGCTCTCTGCTATGGCCTAGGAAAGTGATAAAAGACGGCCCAAGTCCTTGGACCGCTGCACCCATGTGAGAGACCTGGAAGAAGCTCCTAGCTCCTGGCTCCTGGCTTCAGATCAGTACAGTTCCAGCAATTGTGGCCATTTGGAGGGGAGTGAACCAGCAGATGGAAGACCTCTCTCTCTTTCTCTGCCTCTCCTCTCTTTGTGTAACTCTGACTTTCAAATAAATAAATCAATCTTTGGAAAAAAAGAACGAAGGAAGGGTTAATTCATTCTGCCTGGTGAGGATTTCACTGAGAAGGTGATATTTGATCTTATTGAAGAACAACCTCCCAAACTAGTTAGAGGTGTTGCTATAGAACCCCCAAACCTGGGTCCTCTCTCCTGACATGCAGGAAGCCAGTCGCTGCTATTGGCCTGGTGGAGGAAACTATGTATTTAGTGCAAAGTGCAGAGTACGATGCCAGGCAGCCTTTGCTTAACTGCCAGGCTCCCAGAGGAGTCAGGGGTGAAGGTGATTACAGATTGAAATTGGGGCTGAGAGGCACGTGATCAGCTCGTGTCTATGTTCCTGGTTGGTCAGTGCTGCTCCCGACCTTCGTTGGATTGGTCAGTGATGTGTGCTGGTTAGGGAATGTTTATGATGGCCTGGCAGGCTTCAGCTGGGCTTGGGAGGGAGACACGCAAGTGGGAGTTACCTTCTGCCCCAGACCTGGAATTTCCCTGCCTGGACCTGGAATTCCCCTACACAACCCCCTTGGGACAACCTTGGCCAACAAGGTTTTATCTACTGGAGAAGCAAATGAGTCTGACAGATTCCTGGCGAGGCAGACAAGGGAGCAAAGAGGCCTCTCCTACCATCTGGAGATGAGTCTCAGAGAGAAGTCAAACAATCAACTTCTGTGTAGGATCTCTGTGATTGGGCACTTAACCTTCACCCAATTAACCAATCAGAACAGTCACTTCTCAATCCCCTTATTTACATTTTCATCTCTCCCAGTCAAGCAGCTGGCTTCCATGCTTAGAGACTTCTCAATGGTTCATTTGCATCTCTCCTGAACCAGTCAGGCTCTGCCAACTTCCTGATTAGTTCATGCTGAATGCTTCATTAGCATACATCACAGGAAGACTCTGCCCACACCCTGATTATCTCACAACAAATGCTTCATTTTACATCTCCCCTGATCAATCACAAGAACTTCCCCCTTTTTAACCCACAAAAGTCCCTAGACTGGGGCTGGCATTGTGGTGTAGTGGGTCAAAGCCACTGCCTTCAACCAATATCCTTTATGGGCACCGGTTCGCATCCCACCTGCTCCATTTCTGATTCTGTTCCCTGCTAATGGCCTGTGAAGAACAGTGGAAGATAGCCAAAGAGTTTGGGATCCTGCCACCCACCTGGGCTATCCAGATGACACTTCTGGCTTCAGCCTGGCCCAACACTGGATGATACAGTCATCTGGGGTATGAACCAGAGGATGGAAACCTCTCTCTTTGTCTTTTCCTCTCTCACTGCAAATCTGACTTCCAAATAAATAAATAAATCTTTAAAAAAAAAAAAAAACAACAAACCTTGACTGTCAGCCCTCAAAGTTTCCCTCCTTCAGGGACCACCCCCCTCCCTGACATCTGGGAGCTTTCTGTGCTTCTGTCAATAAACATCCTTCCTTTGAGTGGCTCATTCTCAGCAGAGAGAAAGAGAGAGCTGTTACCCTAAAAGAGCTGTAACATTTCTAAAAATTTGGTAGGAAGAAAAACCTGCAACAACTCCTGGGGTCCACTTGATCTGGGATACAGCAGGCAGCCAGATTAGGGTCAGGAGCTGGAAGCAACACCTCCCCCTGCCCTAGGCAATCCTATCCACCCACCTGTCAGTCAAAAGACCCGTTCCCCAGGATGTACCTCTGCTTACCTGGAACCTGGAGGCGGTATCACGTAACACTCCCCCTTCCAACCTTCTGAGAGGGTGCCAACTGGGAGGAGCTTGCTCTCTCTGCAAACTGAGGAGTCAGGGTATTGAAACACCCTCTCTCTTCCTTCCTCCACCCTTTTCTCTTCCTGGCTCACCCTATTCCTGTGCACTGACCACATATGTGTGTTTTCCTCACCTTTTGAATAAACTTTATCACTTTACACATCATCTTTGTGCCTATACTTAGAATGCTTCTCTAGGTAAGAGGTAAGAGCCTGGAATCGGGACTTTAGACCCCACCTAGCCCACAATACAGTGATTAGAACCTTATAGGGCCAGCTGCATCCCTTCCTCAATTCAGGAAACTCCTTTCGATAAAGGACAGGCAAGGACACCTTGGGCTAAGGGAGACAGATGAGAGGCCGGGTCCTGCCTTTCTATGATAGAGGTTCAGTTTCACTGTGGGCTTAAAAGACAAATAGGCTTTTCCATGTATAGACGGCACGAGCAAAAGCAGAGATACAAAGCTATTTGATTGCTCAGGTTTGTGTTTTTTCCCCAAGAAATGTTGCCAATTTTTCTTTCTGCCGAGTTTTTGAAATGTAAAAGCTCTTTCAGATGGCGACTCTTTTCTCTGCTGGGTTCTTTGTCTTGTGCCCACAAAGAATGAGGAGCATGGGCAAGGAGGAGTGAGCCAAGTGAAGGGGGATGGAGTTACAATGCAGGACTGGCAGAAATTCCAGCTCATCGATTCCTGTCTCCTCTTCTTGCTGGGTTCCCCATGCCACAGGTGCAGCAATCCCCTCTGTGAGGCAGCCCTCCAGACGTCACTCAGGTACTCTGCTCCTTTCTCTTTCCACTCTTATCTCAGATAGAGCCCCAGCCATTTGGCCCACTGGAGGTCACCATCCTGGCCAGTCTTTGGAAACACTCCTTCCTACACTCACATTCCGTGATTTGTAAGTCCCACTAGTTAGTTGCTTGGATGTTCAGCACATATGAAGTCACTGTGACACCCTGAACATGGAGCAAAGGCTTAGAATGTTAGAGTATTTCTTTTTCCTTTTTAAAAGATTTTATGTATTTGAGAGATAGAGTTACAGACACAGAGAGGAAGAGACAGGGAGAAATGCCTTCCATCTGCTGGTTCACTCCCCAAATGGCTGCAATAGCTGGAGCCGGGAGCCAGGAGCTTCTTCTGGGTCTCCCATGCAGGTGTAAGGGCTGAAGCACTTGGGCCATCTTCCACTGCTTTCTCAGGCCATAGCAGAAAGCTAGATCAGAAGAGGAGCATCCGGGACTCGAACTGGTGACCATATGGGATGCCGGCACTGCAGGTGGAAGCTCAGCCCACTACACAACAGCGCCAGCCCCAGAGTGTTAGAGTATTATTAGAACATTTCAGACCCAAGAGAAACAGGGATCTCCAGACTCGAGTTTCTGGCATCACTATCACTGCCGATTAGACAAGAATAAAAGAACATGCTATCATCTACATTAGTCATATAGATTAAATTGTAAAGGAAATGCCTTCCTTACTTCCTTTCTATCTCAAAGAATCAGTGTCCAAATGCTAAGATAAATGGAAAGAACTTGGACTTGTGAACTCACGTGAAAAAGCAGACTCTGTGTTGAGTCTTGGGTATCTTGAAGATCCAAAAATCTTGCTCAGCATGGGTGACTAACAGAAAGCAATCTGAAGCCAAGCCCCACATCACGTCGGGGAGTTTGTTGTGTACTGTAAAATAAAATGTACTGCTTTGGGAGCTTGAGAAAAAATTTAAAAGAATATTCAGAGAGAGGAGGGACTAGGGGAGGGAGAGACTGCACTGTGGCTGAGGGTGAGGGCAAGCAGAAACGATATGGGGGGGGGGAGAGGGCACCGAATTTCTGAGGAGGAGCAACTAGCTGATCCCAATAAAAAAGCAAATGTTTAAACTCCTATCCCTGTGTTCTTTCACTCTCCCAAGGAAGGTCATGGTCATGAAATACAAATAGCCTCCTTCCCATGTGTGCCCTTGAGATTTCTCTGTAAGATTCTGCTCTCATTCCCTCTGTCTGGAAGAAACACCACAGCAGGTGGGAACATTTCAAACCCAGTTCCTTTCCCATGCAATTACCTTCGGATCTCCGCCATACGACTTCAATCCACCCTGAGAGTCCGAGTTCTCCTGCAAAGTCCTTGGCCAATTGGAAAAGTTCCTAAACCAAATCAGCAACTTTCCTTATTTTTCCAGTAGCCTTCGCTGCCATGCCGAGGGTTTTGGACTTTATCCTACAAAGGCCAACATTTTCAAGACTGTACTGAGAGAAACTAAGTGTTCTAGGAGATGGTAGTGGGTGTTATTTGAAACAAGGGTTCTGTCTTCAGATACATTTGGGAAGTGCTAAATACTCCCCTTTGGAAAGTCACAAAGCCCATTAGCGTAGTAAAGACACTGAGAAGACTTCAATAAATGCACTTCTCTAATTTGCTTACTCCAGCATCTCCCATACTCATTTTGACACAGAACCACTTTTTTTTCTCTGTGCAATAGTCATTAACATCTAAGGAACATGAGTGACACCTACACACAATTTAGGTTATTCTAATAGTAGTATCACAGGAGCAATAAAAGATGGAAAGCGCGAGACTGGAGTCAGATTTAAGGTTTAAGCAACAGCATCCTGCAAGTAGACTGATGGATGAATTGATTAGAGAGGACTTTACTAGAGGAGGTGGTAGTAGTAGGCTAGGAATGTTGGCAATGGCCTTGGCTAGATTGTGACATTGAAGAAGGGGACAGGATGGATGAACACTATTGAGTGATAAGGTGGGAGGATGGGAGGAGCAAAATGATCTGTCTGGTATCGGGTATATTGAGGTTAAGGTGTTTGCTGGAGATTGGTACATTAAATATATTACATTATGGCTGATGAGGAAAATCTCGGTTAGATTTCAGACTTACACTAGTGCAATGTGACAGAAAAGTGTGGCACTCTATGAAGAACCAATATTTTTAAGGGTTAAAAGGCAAAGGAAAAAAGACTAGTAGTCTAAATGGTTTTGAAACTTTCATTCATGTGCTATTTTTTAAAAGATTTTATTTATTTGAGAGGTAGAGTCACAGACAGGGAGAGGGAGAGACAGAGAAAGGGCTTCCTTCCGTTAGTTCACTCCCCAGACGGCCGCAACGGCTGGAGCAGCACTGATCCGAAGCCAGGAGCCAGGAGCCTCTTCTGGGTCTCCCACCCAACTGCAGGGGTCCAAGGACTTGGGTCATCTACTGCTTTCCCAGGCCATAGCAGAGAACTGGATCGGAATAGGAGCAGGCGGGACTAGAACCAGCGCCCATATATGATGCTGGTGCTTCAGGTGAAGGATTAACCCACTGTGCCACAGCGCCAGCCCCAGTCACTTGCTATTTTTAAAAGAGAGAGAGAGAGAGAGAGAGAGAGACGTTAGGTAGGAAGTTCAAAATTAGCCTCTGTGTGTGAGAGGGCTTAAGGAAAACAACTCACCTGCAGGCGCTCACCTTGGAAACAGCTCCCTGTAACTTTGTAGTGGTCCTAGCCTTCCACTCAGGAGAATCCTCTCTCTTCAGCACCAACTGGCTTACCTGGCCTGATAACACTGAGCAATAAAACCTTCACATCCTTCCTCCAAGGAAGGCCCTCTAGGGGCAGCTCCTCTGCCTGGTGCCAGGTAGGCTCCCCAGTCTGGTAGCACTGAGTAGTGAAACCTTGGGAGAGATTTCACCTAAGACGCTCTCAGCAAACCCTTTGTCAAGGAGGAGGAGGAGGAGGAGGAGGAGGAGGAGGAGGAGGAGGAGGAGAGGGAGGAGGAGGGGAAGGGGGAGGAGGACTGGACCCTTTTCCCTTATAAGTGGCAGTCAGAATACAGACTGTGAGCTCAGCTCTCAGCCTTTTCCTGAGCCACCCGCCCAGCTGCCTGGCCGCCAGGTGTATTCTCTCCATTTAACCATGCGACTTTGCTTTCCCCAGTCTGAATGACAGGGCACTCTCTCTTGGATTCTGTCCCATACATTCTGACAGATGTCCTATGCCCATTAAACCTTGCTACTTTGCTTTCCACTGTTCTCTGTCTCACGTCTGAATGTTTTTGTGCGAAGACAAGAACCTAGCCCATCCATTTCTGCTAACAGAGAGATCTTCCATCTGCTGGCTCACCCTCCAAATGATCACAACAGCTAGAGCTGGTCCAGGCCCAAACCGGAAATCTAGAACTCCATCTAGGTCTCTAACAGGGGTTGGAAATGGACTTGGGCCATCTTTGGCTGCTTTCCCAGATGCATTAACAGGGAGCTGGATAGGAAGTGAGGCAGCTGGGACGGGAACATGTGTCCATGTGGGATGCCAATGTCACAGGTGTTGGCTTGACCTGCTGCACCACAACACCTGTCCCTTTGAGTCAGACACTTTTTATCCATTCCTAAGGCATGCTTGGTAGTGGTGTAGGCCTAGGTCTTTATGTTTGGGGATAGCAGATTATCACACAAAAATCTGGGCGTGAATGTTTCTAGTAGCACTATTCACAATAGCTAAAAGGAGGAAGCAACATGCAGGGCTGGCCCTGTGGCGTAGCTGGTAAGCTGTTGCCTGCCATGCTGGCTTCCCATATGGGTGCTGGTTCGAGTTTCAGCTGCTCCACTTCCAATCCAGCTCTTTGCTATGGCCTAGGAAAGCAGTCGAAGATGGCCCAAGTGCTTGGGCCCCTGCACCAACACAGGAGACCCAAAAGAGCTCCTGGCTCCTGGCTTCGGGTCGGCCCAGATCCAGCCATTGTGGCCATTCGGGAATGAACTAGTGGATGGAAGACATCTCTCCCAACCCCTGCCTCTGCTTCTCTATAACTCTGCCTTTCAAATAAATAATTTTTTTCAAAAAAAAAAAAAAAAAAAGAAGAAGCAACTTGTATGCCCATCAACTGGTGAATGGATAAACAAAATGTGTTAGGAACATCCAATGGACTATTATTCAGGCATAAAAAGGAATGAAGTATAGATGTATGCTACAACATGTAGCAACCTTGAAAACCTGCTGAGAGAAGGCAGCCAGTCCCAAAAGACCACATAGTGTATTGTTCCATTTATATGAAATGTTCAGAATTGGCAAATCCATAGAGACAGAAAGTAGATTAGTGGTCGCCAGGGTCCTGGGGGACGTGGGGGAACAAGGAGTGACTGCTAATGGGTACCAGTTTTAGGCAGAGGGTGCTGAGAAATGTCCAAAAGCTACACTGTATATGCTGAATTTTACTCCTCGAACAGGTTACATGTACGGGATGCAAATTGTATTGCCATTTGAAAATTGTATAAAGGCTAAGAACAAAAATGGAGTAGTGGTTGCTTGGCCATCATTTGAGTCCTTCAGGGGTCATTCAGGACCTGCGTGTCAGGCTCAGGGAGGACAGCAGAGCAGGAAGGGCTGCCAGATGCCCTGCTCTGGGGAGTGACTGGGCAAAGGCCTCAGGGAGCACTCCCCCCAGGGAGCAGGGGCTCAGAAGGAAGTCCTAGTGCCCCCCTCCCTCATCGCTCTTGCTCCCCCATCCTCTCTCTGGCCAGCACTGGCGGTGGGTCTCCTTTTTAGGCATGTGCTCTTGCACTGTGGGGCACACGGTCCCCGAAGTCAGAGGAAAAGCAGCTTTTGGGTCTCTGAGCAGCCGTGCTGTGTCTTATGCTGCTCAAACAGTTTGTGCAGGGCGTCCATGTAGAGGGCGTGGTATTTGTCCACCAGCTCCTGGCTTGGCTTTTCAACTCTGGGCAGTGGCAGTGGCTCCCCAACTGCAAGAAAAAGATAAGGAGAGAGTGGGAGAATTTCTTCTTCCTTCCACCTCTGTCTCCTTTCCTGGGCCTGACCGGCTCACACTCCAACTCAACACCCAGCTTCTCCCCCTCAGCTGCAATCTTCTTCCATGGGGATGGGGTGGGAAGGCAGGAGGTGGAGGTGGAGAAGGAGCTAAGGTGACCTGGGGGCTGAGGACGACACTCACCCACAGTGACAATGGGCCGGCAGTATGGCAGGACCCCCGTGGTGCCTGGGCGGAAGCCTTGTCCATAGAAGATGCAAAAATAGAAGCCAAAGACCCGGCGGAAGTAGCCCTGGAACTTGTACATCCTGCTGTCCTTATGGAACAGCACCTGGTCAAACACTTCGGTTTCTCCAAAAGTGAAAGTGGGGACCAGATGAGCCCTGTAGGAAAACCCAGATTCATTTTCCAGACACAAGGTGGGGCGGGAAGAGCCTAGAAGAACATTCGCTCGTGGCCCAGCCCCCTTCTATTGTGTGCAAATCTCAATGGCCCAAAGCAGTTCCTCTTGTCCTAAACAGGGCTCCCCTGAGTGAACCAGTGGATGGAACTTTCATTCTCTCTCTCTCCCGCTCCTTATAACTCTGCCTTTCAAATAAATAAATAAATCTGTTTTTAATATGAAGATCTTTATGTTTTTAAGGGATTTATTTATTTATTTGAAAGGCAGGAGAGAGAGAGAGAAAGTCTTACATCTTCTGGTTCATTCCCCAAATGGCCACAATGGCCGGGCTGCACCAGGAGGAAGCCAAGAGCCCGGAGCTTCTTCTGGGTCTCCCATGTGGATGGTAGGCCTCTGCTGCTTTCCCCAGGCTGTTAGCAGGGAGCTGGATTGGAAGTGGAGCAGCCAGGACTTGAACCTGTGTCCATATGGGATGTTGGCACTGCAGCTGGTGGCTTTACCCACTATGCCATAGCGCCGGCCCCAATAAAATAAATCCTAGGGAAAAAATTCTGCAGGGCTCCCCACTTGAGGGTCTCTTATCCTGAAATTTTCCAGGACAGTGAGAGTGCTATCTCTGGGGCAGGATTGCAAGGACCAGATATGGGGGTGCAGGGAGGGAAGAGGGCTTGGGCAGGGACCCCCAGAGGCTGACAGCATGAAAAGCTTCTAGGAGGTGCCAAGGAGGGGGATACCTGACCCTGTTTCCATTGGTAGAAAGTACAGAGAAAATGAGATAATTTCACCTAGATGTACATATACCAGGGCACTTCAAAAGTTCATGGAAAATGGAATTAGAAGATATGTTTATCTTGGTGCCAATTTTTTTTTGAAATTCAATCATAGGAGGAGTCTTCCAAAAGGTTCAAGGAAGCTATAGAGTAGGTATTATGAAGAAAGTACAAAGTAGGTGAGATTAGTAATAGCGACATTAGGAATGCTCAGAATGGTTAAGTAACTTGTCTGAGAGAGCACAGTAAATCATGGAACCAGGATTTTACATCAGACGCCTGCCTGCAGATTCTGCCTCTTGTACTACCAATTAAAAGGCAGATGTCAGTATCAGTATTGATAATGTGGCCATCACCTATAACCCTAGGGCAACCCAAGCCTGGACCCTGCCCCTGCCCCCCACCCCACCACAACCACGCACGCCCTACCTCTCATATTGAATCTGGGTTTGTATTTTAGCTTCCTGGGAACTGGTCCAGCTGGCTCAGGAGCTGATGACCTAAACCACTTTGCAATTCTATGCCCATCTCGCCTACTGAGCAGTAGATTTCCTGAAGGCAAGGCTCGCGTGTTGAGTCACCTTTGGCATTGCCAACAGGGTCACGCGGCTGGGAGAAGGCCACCACCCAGCCCTCTTCTGGGGGAACACCTACCCGTGCTGGAGGGCCGTGCGCACGAAGCCTTTGCGATTCTGGAGGAGGAGCGTGGTGGTGTTGGGCACACTCTGCAGGGCCTCTCCCACACCTCCCACTACTACACCCACGAGGTTGCCAGTGCCGTGGCTCAGCAGGTAGTCAATGGAGGACTGGCTCACGGAGCACAGACCTGGGCACAAGCAAGGAACAGAGAGAGGAGAAACAGAGTCAGGAGAGGAGCGGGGGAGCGGAGGCCTGGGGAACACGCTCCTGCCTGCTCTTCCCCAGGTGCAATTGTTTGCTCTGGGGTTCTAGGAGGAGGCTCCGTGAGATGGGGCTGAGAAGTGTGCAGAGGGAAACATTGTGCAGCCGCAGAACAGGATGCACTTTGGGGCTGTATCTCCACTTCGCAGGAGGCACTGAGTGGAAACTGCAGTCGGAAGGTTACCGGTGGGATAAGCAGAAGGACTTTCTGATTCCCAGACCCCAGTTAGTTATTAACCTCATGCTGTGTGGCAGGCTTTCCTGGCCTGATCGCTCTGAGCTGTCACACTACATCACCTGTGGTCGCACTATTGTCATCAGGACCCCCCTTCACAGATCGGGCGACTGAGAGCAGTGGAGCTTAGCTAGTGTGCCCAAGATCTCCCAGCAAGCTGGCAGAGCTACGATTCAAAACCCAGGCGGGTTTAGCTCCAGAACACATGCTCTTGACTATTAGGCCATGATGCCCCAGGCGCAGTGTGGTGGCAACGGGGCCTGAAAGGGTGCATTTGCCAGCAGAAAACTAGACCAGAAGCTCCAGTAAGTGTGGTCAGAAGCACCTTTGGCCATGAGGTACTCCCTAATAATGGGGATCTTGAAGAACCAGGACAGCGTGGCCAAGTGAGGAGTGATGCCTGGGAAGGCCCTTGCGAAGCCCGTGACCTCGGTGCAGAAGTTGCAGAAGGCGCCGAAGGTCAGGAGGCCGTGAGGGTGCACCCCCATGATGTAGTTGTGCTCAGGCGGCAGGTCTTCAGTCTTCAGGATCTGCGGGCAGGAGAAGGAACACCGGGGGGGGGGGGTGCGTGAGATCACGTGGGAAGCAGTGGGAGGGACAGACACCCCAGGAGTAGGGTGCGCCCCAAAGCACAACTTTGCAATAGAGAGACCCAGTGTGGACTTTGAGGGGCCAAGATAAGGGGGCGTCTCAGCCGTTGGGTAACAAGGTAGGGTGTGGAGCACCTAGAGCTGCCAGCCTCTTGCCTGCATCAGGGTGCTTTATGTGGGCTAATTTTTTTTCTTCTGTGAGTGCCATCATGACATGACAAAGGTCAGGGAGCTCTGCTTTAAAAATCAGGGCAGTGCGGCCAGCACTGTGGCGTAGTGGGTAAAGCCTCCGCCTATGGCACCAGCATCACATATGGGCACCGGTTCAAGTCCCACCTGCTCCACTTCTGATCCAGCTCCCTGATGATGGCCTGGGAAAGCAATGGAAGATGGCCCAAGTCCTTGTACACTTGCACCCACGTGGGAGACCCTGAAGAAGCCCCTAGCTTCTGATTTGCTCAGCTCCGACTGTTGTGGCCATTTGGGGAGTAAACCAGCCGATGGAAGACCTTTTTCTCCCTCTCTCTGCCTCTCTGTAACTCTGACTTTCAAATAAATAAATAAATAAATCAAAACTGCCCCTCTAAATTGAATCAAACCTATAGCTCTCTGTACTTGTCTGCCCTCTCTGTTGTATATGAACTATTCACATCTCTGTGAACTTCCTCTATGTCTTCTGCCTGTGTCACGTGCCAGGTCATGCCAAGGGTATCCAATGTGTCCTAACAGATTATGGAGTGCACCAGAGCAATATGGGTTCCAGGAGTGCGTCCAGCCTGCACCAAGACTCCTCTGGGGTGCTTGCCTTTCTTACGGACACTGCTAGCTCCCTGGTAGAAATGCCTAGCAGTTTGGAAGTTGTGAGGGGTGCTCCGAAGAGGCATTTACCGTAATGGGAAAGTAGTCCCTGATGTAAGTCCACACAGTCCAGTTCCTCACCCAGGCTGAGCGCCTGCCACCTGAAACAAAAATGCCAGGAGGGGATGATGATGTCCCGCTGCGCCACCCTGTACCTTCTCACCCAGGGTTGCCCAGTGGCACCGAGGGAGGTAGGATAGGAAGAGAGCCCAGGAGGCTCCTGTGGCTCTGAGAACATGGATGACAAAGCCCCGGGTTTGGTCAGTGACACTTACTGTGCAGGGCTGTGGGTTGAGCTGGAACCTTCCCGTTCATAGGTCCACAAATCTTACCTTGCTCTGGGGTCTTCCTGTCCAGGAACAGCCAGACTAAGTAAAGTGCTGGGAGAGGCCATAAGGGTGTAAACAGCAGGTAGATGAACAACGGCTGCAAGATCCAAACTGCCAAGGAGATTCGGTCAGCCCAAACTTGTGGTGCCAGCAGAACGTGACCATGTCCTGTCTCGTTACCAGCTCTCCATACTAGCCAGGCCTCTGGATCTGGCCCTCAGCACAATCCAGGTCCTGCCCATGCATCACTCATGTCCACTCATCCTTCAAAAATTTCCCCTAGGGCAGGTGTTGTGGGTGCTGCTACTTACAACGCCAGCATCCCATATCAGAGCACTGGTTCCAGTCCCAGCTGCTTTGATTCCCATCCAGCTCCCTGCTAATGTGCCTGGGGAAGCAACGGAAGACGGCCCAAGTGCTTGGGCCCCTGCCACCCGCGTGGGAGACCTGGATGGAGTTCCTGGCTCCTGGCTTCAGGCCTGGCCCAGACCTGACTGTGGCCAACTGGGGGAGTAAACCAGCAGCTGAAAGATCTTTCTCTTTCTGTTTGTCTCTCCTTCTCTCGATTGCTCTTCTTTCAAATAAATAAATAAATCTTTTCAAACATTTCTCCTATCATCTACTATACAAAAGCCCTATTTCTCTGCCTATCTGCACCCCTGCCCACCTAACTCCACCATCCCTCTATTGCCCTCTGCCTGCCACCAGCTTGTTTTTCACTCTTGTCCCATCTGCCCACTATTGTTTTCCTTCTGTCTCCTGCCTCCATCCCATCCATCATCCTTGAATGCTTGTTAAGCCACTAGCCTACCCTCCCATGCTCCTTTACCATCCATGTTGCCCTCCAGTTTGCCTACTCTGCATCCGTGTCCCTCCACTGTTTCCTAGGCACCATTCTTGTCCTCTTACCCATTCACCATTGCTTCCATTGCTTCAGTCTCCCCACACACTACCCCTGCCAGCCCCTCCGGGAATGCAGGACTCTGTGGGTCAAACACAGGCTACATTTCTCTAGGCTGTAATGCAAATGCTTCCTCTGTCCCACTCTCCATGATCACAGGGCAAATTTTCTTTCCCTGCATGGTGAGAGTTAGCAAGTGGAAGGAAATGAGCTAGATCTAGCCATTTCCATCATGCCCTGACTGTTGTCACTCTCCCCGGGGGCTCCATCTTTTCCTTCCCAGAACACTGGTAGAGCGCAAAGCTCCTTGGCTTTACTCTCCAGTGCTGTCTCAGATGATCACAGGCCAGAGACAAGACTTCCCATGACCACCAAAATCACCTCCGTCCTTGCCCTGGCCTCTGACTCTGGCTTCTTGCTGTGTACTCTTGGGTTGGTACTCACAGATGGCAAGGTAGCTCAGGGGCCACTGCAGAAGCATCAGACTCTGGAAGTGATTACGCCGCTTGGAACAAGACATGATGCCCAGGAGCCAGAGAGAGGCGAAGTTTCTAGCACAGCGGTCCAAGTAAAAGTGCCACAGGCCTCTGGAAGCTCACTCGACACTGAATGCAGGTGACTGTGAAGAGTTTGGACCTGCCCTCTCCCCTTCATGTCCTGCCCTACAACCCCCACCCACTGCAGGGGGCAGGCTCGCCAGTGCCCAGGACCGCCCCTTCAGATCAGGCCCCGCCCATCTGCCCTTTGATTTGCTTTCCTGGGATTATTAGTTCATCACGATGGAGAAAGGGGGAGAAGGACTGCCATCTAGTCAGAGGGACACAGGGACCCGAGAAGGGGAAGCCCACTTCACAGGCCACTGAGAGACTACAGGGCTTGTGCACTTAGGGAGATGACTGGTAGGAGGACAGCTTTGGGCTTTTGTGGACCAGAGAGAGAGCCCCTGGCTTTACAGCACTGCTACCCTAAAGCAGCCTGGTTTGGGCTTCCTTTCTCTCCTTTAACTTAAAACATTTTTTAAAATTTTATTTTTAAGGGGGGAGGAGAGAGAGAGGTCTCCCAACTTCTGGTTCTCTCCCCCACCCCCTACTGAATGCTTGGAGAGCCAGGTAGAAGCCAAGAACTCCATCTGGGTCTCCCATGTGGGTGGCAAGCACCCAAGTACTTCAGCCATCACTGCTGCCTCACAGGGTGTGCATTAGCAGGAAGCTGGAGTCAGGATCAGATCTGGGACTCGAACCCACACACTCCCATAAGGGATGCAGGCAACCCAAGCAGCATCTCAAACACCAGGCCACCCCCCCTGATTAAGTTTTTATTATGAACATTTCCAGACTCACCAAAACTACAGACTGCAACCAATTTTCACCTCCACATTCACCTTCAACAACTAGTAACATTTGGCTGTATTCACTTCATCTCTTGCTCCTTTTTTTTTTTGCTTAGAGCATTTTAACACAATTCTAAGACACCATGTCTTCTCACCCTGAAATACTTCATTATCTATCTACAAAAAAATACATATTTTCATGCATAATAACAATGTCACTAACAGACAAAAAATTTAATAGTTCCCTGACAATATCTAAATATCTAATCTATAGTCAAATGCCTTTTTTTTATAGCTGGTTAATTTAAATCAGGATCCAGATGAAGTTCACTGATTGTATCTGTATGTTATGTTTCTTCAGTCTTTTTCCCTTTCTGTGTGTGTGTGTGTGTGTGCACGCGTGTGCGTGTATGAGCGTGAGTGTGTGTAGCTCATTGTAAAATATGACGGGACTAGGGCTGGCACTGAGGTATGGGGGGCTAAGCCTCAATCTGCAGCACTGGCATCCCATATGGGCACCAGATCATGTCCCAGCTGCTCCTCTTCAGATCCAGCTCCCTGCTATGGCCTGGGAAAGCAGTGGAAGATGGCCCAAGTCCTTGGGCCCTGCACCCATGTGGGAGACCCAGAGGAAGCTCCTGGCTCCTGGCTTTGGATCGGCCCAGCTCTGGCTGTTGAGGCCATTTGGGGAGTGAACCAATGGATGGAAGACCTCTCTCTCTCTCTCTCTCTCTCTCTCTCTCTCTCTTTCTCTGTCTGTAATCCTACCTCTCAAACAAATCTTTTAAAAAATATGATGGGGGCCGGTGCTGTGGCATAGTAGGTAAAGCCGCTGCTTGCAGTACTGGCATCCTATATGGGCGCTGGTTCGAGTCCTGGATACTCCACTCCCAATGCAGCTCTCTGCTATAGCCTGTGAAAACAGTGGAAGATGGCCCAAGTCCCTGCACCCGCATGGGGGACCTGGAAGAAGCTCCTGGCTCTTGGCTTCGGATCAGCCTGGCTCCTGGCTTCAGATCAGCGCAGCTCCGGCCATTGCGGCCATTTGGGGAGTGAACCAGCAGATGGCCTCTCTTTGCCTCTCTCTGCCTCTCTCTGCCTCTGCCTCTCCGTAATTCTGCTTTTCAAATAAATGAATCTTTAAATTAAAATAAATGACATAAATGACAGGACTTCTAAAGTTTGTGGAAAATGGAGTGGAAAGATAAGTTTATTTTGGTGCAAAAACCCCAAAATCCATGTATAGGTTTTTCATCATATGTGTTTTCCATGAGCTTTTTGAAGATTGCTTGTAAAACTCAGATACAGAAAACAAATTAAAACAAATGTATGGCTTAATGAATTATTTTAATCACTTTGTAGCCATCAACAGGATAGGGAATAGGTGAGGAAATACCCACCCCAGGACCCTCTCCGTGTGTCCCAATCCATTCACAGCCTTCTTGCCATCCCAAAGAAACCGTTACCCTGCCTTGCCTTCCTGTGGTTTTTGTTTCATGTTACAAAGTGTCCTTCCCTAATGACTATAGTTTAGTCTTATCCATCTGAAAAAAATTGCTATGTCCTTTTTCTCCTTTTTGTTCTTACTTTTCATCTGGGGATAATTTTAGATTGATGGCAAATGTGCAAAGGGAGTAAATACTGTTCCTTATATCCTTCACCCAGCCTCTCCTTTATGTTAACATCTTCTATAACCATGGTATACTGATCACAAGTGAGAAATCAACGCTGGGGCATTTCTATGAATTAAGCTCCAGGCTTTATTTGGATTGCCTGAGTTTTTCCACTGCTGTCCATTTTCTCTCCCAGGGTTCCATATTGCGTTTAATCATTGTGTCTCCTTAGTTTCTTGCAGCCTGTGATCAATTTGGGGTCTTTTCTTGTCTTTCAGGACCTTGGTCCTTTTTTTTTTTTTTTTAAGATTTGTTTATTCACTTGAAAGCCAGAATTACACACAGAGCAAAGGAGAGGCAGAGACACAGAGAGAGGTCTTCCATCTGTTGGTTCACTCCCCAGATGGTCGCAAAGGTCGGAGCTGTGCTGATCCAAAGCCAGGAGCCAGGAGCTTCTTCTGGGTCTTCTGGGTGCAGGGGCTCAAGGACTTGGGCCATCTTCTACTGCTTTCCCAGGCCACAACAGAGAGCTGGATCAGAAGAAGAGAAGCTGGGACACGAACTGGCACCCATATGGGATGCCAGTGCTGCAAGTGAAGGATTAACCCACTGCCCCACAGCACCGGCTCCGAAGACTTTTAGTCTGTTTAAATTTTCAGGTTTGCCCTCTATCCCTGGATTTTGTGTATTGCATGCTGCGCTTCAGCATGCAACTTGGTATTTCCTACAGATTTGCAGCCAGATTCAAAGACTGGATAGGATTCAGCTTGGCTCCCTTTAGCAAGATCTTAATTTGCTTTTACTCTAGGACAATCTCCCTTTCTCCCTTCCTTTCCTCCCTATTCCACTGACTTGTTGAAGACTGTTTTTCCTTGGAGCTCAGCCCACCTTCCACACCTCCATGCCAGTTTCCATGAACAGAGGTGGGGTATGGAACCTGGTTCCTATGTGAATCCCAAATACAGGCCAAATTGGGAGGGAGGGGAAGAAAACCTTCATTCCTCTCTCTGACTCCTGTCTCCTACCTTGTTGTAACTTCATACCCATTAAGGTAAATTGGTGTGTGCGCCTTTTCCCCATCTTACAACTGCATGCTTTTAAAGGGATAGCACCACATTTCATTTGTCAGTGTGTCTGCTCCTGATGTCTGGAAACTTCTAGATCCTCGCTATTGCATGAACAATTAGTGAGTGTGCTAGTTTGAGGTCTGTGATTGGATGATTTCTTACATATAGTGAGATCGCTGGAGTCCTGTGGAGGAGCGGGTCCTGGGGACTTTCATGGAGGACAAGAGGCTGTACAGAACAGAAGGCAAAGGACACATTCTAAAAGGAGAGAAAAAAGAATGAAAAGAAAGAAAGTCGGGTACTGACCTTTGAGGCAGTTTGGCAAATGAGGAAGTTCGGCACACTTGCTCTCCCTCCCCTGAGCGCCCGCCTACTCCAGGTCCGGGTGCTGATTGGAAAGCAGCCTGCCCCAGAACAAATGCTAGCAGTCAGGTGTTGCAGCACCACTGCCCTGTGGTTGTGGGTGGGGACTCGTGCTTGGTAGTGTGTGGGAGGTTAGCACTCCCTCCTTCCGGAAGAGAATGTCCTGGGGAGTCTACTTCCTCTCCACACTTTCTCATCCAGATAAATTGTCTTCTCTGAGGAGCAAGCCTCCTAGGTCAATTTTTAGTAATGTGAGAATTCACAATTTCTACACCCACCTCTATTTCTTCTTGCTCCCTTAAAAAAGGAAGTAAGTTGTTGAGAAGATACTCAAGCTACAGAGAGATGGATTTGTGTACATATTTTCCCTATAGCACTGATCCCAGCCTTTGATTATTTTTATTGCATTACTGGCATTTTAATTATATCCTGATTTATTAAATTCCTTTATTTTTAGTTTATCAATATATAATTGACAAATAAGAATTTATAGACTTAGAGCATTCCGTTTGATTTTTTTTAAGATTTATTGTTTTGTTTGAAAGGCAGAGTTACAGAGAGGCAGAGGCAGAGAGAGAGAGAGAGAGAGAGAGATCTTCCATCCCCTGGTTTACTCCCCAAATGGCCGCAATGGTTGGAGCTGGGCTGATCCAAAGCCGGGAGCCAGGAGCTTCTTCCGGGTTTCCCACATGGGTGCAGGGGCCCAAGGGCTTCTGCTTTCCCAGGCCATAGCATAGAGCTGGATTGGAAGTGGAGCAGCCAAGACTCAAACTGTGCCCATATGGGATGCCGGCACTGCAGGCAGTGGCTTTACCTGCTATGCCACCACCTTGGCCCCCGATAGATTTTTTAAAAATGATTTATTTATTTATTTATATGAAAGGTAGACTGATAGAGAAAGTAATCTCCCATCCCCTGGTTCACTCCCCAAATGTCTGCAACAGCTATGCCAAGTCCAAGCCAGAAACCCCTATCACCCTCTGAGTCTCCCATGTGAGTGGCAGGGGCCCAAGTACTTTGATCATTATCCACTGCCTTCCGAGGCACATTAGCAGGGAGCTGTATCAGAAGCAGATTAGCTGGGATTCAGACCAACACTCTGATATGGGATGCCATGGGTGCAAGGGACCCAAGAACTTGGACCATCTTCCACTGCTTTCCCAGGCCACAGCAGAGAGCTGGATCAGAAGTGGAGCAGCCGGGACTTGAACCGGCACCTATATGGGATGCTAGCACTGCAGGCAGTGGCTTTACCAGGTACATCATAGTGCCAGCCCTTGCTTTAGTATTTTAATGTTTAAAATACCATGGACCTCCCCATGATAATAGTTGTACTGTTAGTATCAATTTATTGGAACTATATAAAAAAACTAAGGGCTGGTGCTGGGGCGTAGCAGGTAAAGCTGCCGCCTGCAG